AGAGATTAGCTCTGCCACCCTTTGTGCCACTCTGCTGCACTGAATTGTTTCTAGAGAGGTCACAAGCCTCTTTGAAGTCAAGGTTAATTTCAACAACTATTTCAGGGAAGCCAAAACTTTACCACATGATCCAGCTAAAAAGAGTTATTCCTTTCACTCAGCAACAGAAGTTCAAATTTTCCTATGCAGCTTCAGTTTTTGGAGACAGCTTGAAAACAGGTGTTCCTGTTACTCTTGGCTGTTTTCTTCTGCTCTCTCGCTCACAGGTAGAGGTGGAATCCAGGGGCAGGTGGGTTCCCTGTCTCCTTCCACAGCCCTATCCTGCCACCTGGTTCTGGAGTCGACACAGAAAAAGCACATACAATCAATCTGATGGCTGCATTTCAAACTCTACTAATAGCCTGTGGCTTGTATGGAAAGGGGAATAAAGATTTACTATATTTCAGTGTGAAAGATACTTTAAAATTATACTGCAAGATGTTGTGTCTAAGAATGAGTATGAATGTCTTGCTAGTTTTTTTAAGCTTGTTAAATGTTTATGATTAAAGGCAGCCTGTAGGTCACAAATCCAGTGCTCACATCACATCCTGATCACAAGATGAGGCTCGAAGCTTTGATTTCATCACATCTGTACACATTACCTACAGCAACAAAGTCCTGGGCTCATGGCTTTTCGCATGCAATGATATAACTCCTCTAATTGGACAAATTTATACCCTTGAAAGATGACCCGCATGCCTATAGCTTGTTTCCCTATGCCTCTTGTTTGTGCCCATGAGGGAACTTGTCCCATCATAGGTATTTTAGTAAAGTCACACATCTCTTTGCTGCTACAATTGTCAAGCACAGTTGGTAAGGCAGTAACTGTCTCGTGTATTAGGAGCTGGCAGAGTAAGCTGAAAAATGAGACAACTGCTAAAAACATGATTTAATACTTAAAAATGAATAAATAATAACCTCATACTATTTGTGCCAATCTTGTGGCTTATGACATTCTGGGACTGATGATCTTACCAACAGCAGGCTGATTAAAACACCATGAAGCTAGTACATGAATGGTCTCCATAAGAAGCTCACGTGCATGGAATTATTTTCCCTCTTGTCTGGATGTAGCTTGGGGCACTGAGATAATACTGTTTTATTTTTGGTTTGGAGAGGCGGAAAGGTTTTTTGGGAGAGCACTGTCTTTCAAGTTTTGGGTTTGAATTGATACCTGTAATGTTTGTGAAGATTACACATGCAGTCACAACACTGGCCACTCTCAAATGTATGACTTCTTCAGCTTGACTCGGCTACGAATATAACATAGGCTACAAAAATTCTCTTCTGATGATTTTTATCTCTATATTTACTACAAAGACAGACAAACTCCACTGCTTGTGCAATATTATAGTTCAAATTGCCTAGCTGCAATTCTTATATAGAAGTCTGACTCATTAGGCCCACATACACATCTGCTAACACCCTAGTCTCTGCAGGATCGAAATCATGTAAGACTGTGGTTTTGAGGACTGGGGATGTATAGATGCACTAAGAACTAAGCATCGACACACTTCCACATTTTTATTCAAGACTGCCTACTCAGAAGAGAGTCTAGGACCTGTGATCTCTGCTTTCTTTATAGGTCACTTCACCCAGATTCAGATTCCAGTCTTCCTTCCCCTCTCACACTCACTCACCTTGATTAGGTTTTGCCTAATCCAAGCAAGAAGAGAGACAGTCCCTTTTTCCCTAAAACACCAGTCATGGCTTCCTGCTTTGGAGCCGCCCGCAGTCCTTGAGCCAGCTGGAAGAGTTTCATGTATCCAGACAGAAGTGGATGCTACTCCCATGCTTGCCTTTCTCTTTAATGACTTGTTCACTGAGTAGGAGGCACAAGGCCCTTTCCTACTGGCCAGGAAAATACTCAGCCTCAGAAGGAAAACCTTTGTATAAGTAATCCTTATTTTTACCTAAACATTAAAGAAAATGTTAAACTTCTTGCTGTGCCAAATGATGCCTCTAGGCCATCTGGCCCTCATCAGTCCTGCCAGCTGTATTTCTGAAGGATTCTGTGATACAGTAGCAAGACGTAGCATACCTTACAATTTTCCTTACTGGTTATTATCATCAATGCACCATAGCTTTTAAATCACAATGAAAAGTCACTGTGACAAATATATTTACACTTTCATTAGGTAAGTACAGTCCATCCAAATGTGTCTAGAAGTTACTGCAACCTACTTAACTAGATATGAAATTTAAAACTGAAACCACCATATAAAGAAATTTTCAAGTAATACTTTATCTGGGGGTGCTCTCATCAGCAGTGCACATGGAGAGAAAAAGATGCACAAGGTGGAATAGTTTCTGCATACATAACACATACACCTGAGTACTGAGCAATTTATTGCTGATCTGTAAGTAGAGACCGGGTCCTTGGGAATCTGTGTAAGGGGTTTCAGGATATAACCTCTGTGCATTGACATATGCAGACGCCTACAAATCTGCACCATAATTCAGATGTGCACGTTTTAAATATAGCTATGACTTTATACAAACCTCAGATTGCAGTAGGAGCAGAGTCCTCAGCTGAGAAGTGTAATTTGTTTAGCTGAATCAGCCAAGATGAGAGAAGTGTTCAAACTTACTCTAGGTGCATCTAGACACAGATCTATTTATTTTATTTTTTTGTGTCTATAATTTCCTTTATACACTTCAATATATTTCAAAAAGAAAGCAAAAGAGAGGAGAGAAAGAAGGCAACAAGTACCCAGCAAGACAGTAAAAATAAAAGGTTGTCTTAATGTCAAACCAACATCTACTTCCAAGCTTTAGCTGCATTCTCATACTCTTACCTTATCAACACCAGTGGAAATGCAGATGGGTGATTACCCAAGGGCACTACCCTTCATCAGCAGAAATAGCTGTTGCATTTATTCAATCTTTTGGAAATAATCCATGGAGTTTGCAAAATTTTACAGTTTATTGCTACCAAGGTCACAGTAACATGGGTTTTCTTTTGCAATCCATCAGGACAATCAGAAAGACAACATGTATCATACAGAGAGTATTGCAACATTAACCCAGTACAACAGTCCACAGAGACAGCATTCAGTGCTGTTCATTGTAGCTTTATGGCAACGAGGCTTTAGATTAGTCTTCCAAATCATGCTTGTATACTGAAGTATGTGAAAGTCATATTGTTTCCAATGAAACAACATAGTACATACAGATTTGGCAGATTCCTGACCTCTACAGTTTCTGACAGTCTTCCAAATTTAGGACTGAGAATGTCAGACTGACCCTGCATTTGGCAAGAATAATACAAGTCCTGGTTTTATCAAACTCTGCTTCAAGTCAGATCTCATTTCTACTAAATAAGAAAATCTCTGATTTTGTAATATTAATGTAATATTTGCATTTGTAAACAAGTAGAAAATTTAACTGTCTCTAATTTAATTTATGATGTTAGATTTGGGGATTTGGAGAGTCAGTGAGACTCATACATCATAAAAGGAAAAATAAAATTAAATTGGTGGTACTTGTATATGGCAAGAGTTCTCATCTGTCAGAATACTGCACATTAAATGAGAAAAAAATCAGAGTTTTGAGCACGTAATAAAGTTTTGTGTTCAGTTGTTTGTCTTGTATCACTCTTATTGCAAATTATAAAATGAAGTTGTTGACTCTACTATTTAAATCTGAAAAAAATACCAACGGCTTAATGTTATTGTGAACCTGGCAGTATATGGGATAAAACTAAATCGTTGAAAATTTGCAATGGAGGGTTTAATTGGTACTCCTAAAATCCACATTCTTTTTTTCTTTCATTTTCTGACCTCATTTCTGAGTCAGAGACAGAGAGGGTGGAGTATACTAATTCTACCCAGGCCATTTGACCAGGCAAGAAGCCCAAGAAAAATGATTTTTCCATATACTAACATTAATAAGTAGTAGAATCCCAAAGTTATTTTGTAAGACTTCAATTAGTACTTTGAACTTCGCATTGTATCAATTAAATAGTTATTTCTCAAGACCCTTGCAGTATGGCTTCTCCTTGTAAATTATATTGATTTTGGTTTTTAAGCCACTCAGTGTATCATTTTCTTTCACATTTTCTTTATGTATATTCTTTGATTTCACAGCAGGTGTAACAAAATGCTATAGTTTCTACAAGGAGATCACCCAGGTGATGGCAACATGCACTTTTTGCAGTAAGCGCAACCAAAATGCATGCGATTGTGTTAATATCGAGACAGATTTACTGTGTTACGGTTCTTGGGTGTTTTTTCCTCTCCACACCCTACATAGTACAACCTCCATATTAGTGTCCTTCCATAGGAAAAGACCAGTACACAAATGTTCTGCTTGCATTCACAACTCATTCGCATCCAGCTGTAATATTGTGTAGCGAGGCAGTTCTGATAGCAAATTTAACTGAACCAGCAAAAAAAGAGTTTTTTATCTGTTTTTTTCTGGACTACATTTAACTGTCTATACCCCGGCCAAATGGCTCAATCTTAAAAGAATCCTACCTCTGTTTCCTACCTCTAGGAATCAACTTTACAGTGACTTCTGAGATCTCAAATACACCAAGAGCGGACAACGAGCAAACACCTGATGCTCCAATGCATAAACGCTAGAGGAAGAAAACTCTGCGGACCACCATAGCCTGCCTTCCTCAGGGTAGACACTTCCCAGAATGCAGCTTTACTCAAATTGATCAACAGCCACTCTAGCCCACTTTTATGTGCGTCTGGATTCATGTGTAACAGGAATATAACAACGCTCGTACAGGCTTTACCAAGAGCTGAGGCAGGCTCCCATCAAAAAGGAAAGACTCTGAGATGGCAACAAGTACGAATTCGCAATGGGCATTTACATTTTGCACTGCAAATAAAACATCCTATAAGGCCTCTCTAATACAAATATGATCCAGTGGATTGTACCAGACACTACTGCACATTTTTTCAAATTTCAAATTAAAACCATAAAGAAAATAAAACTGTATTTCTTACTTTCGACGGAACATTTCTGCAAATATGCAGCCAACACTCCAAAGATCAACTGGTGTTGCATAGCTGGACTGAAGCAAAACTTCAGGAGCTCTATACCACAAAGTAACAACCTGTAAAACAAAAAGGAATGTAAGAGAGAGCACACTTAGCTACAGAACTACAACCTCGTAAGTGTTGTGTACACAGCTCCCATTTTGTTTAGGACAAGAGGCAATGGCCTCAAGTTGCATCAGGGGAGGTTTAGATTGGATATTAGGAAAAATTTCTGTACTGAAAGAGTGGTCAGGCATTGGAACAGGCTGCCCAGGGAGGTGGTGGAGTCACCATTCCTGGAAGTGTTCAAGAAATGTGTAGATATAGCACTTCAAGACATGGTTTAGCAGGCATGGTGGTGATGGGTTGACAGTTGGAGTTGATCTTAGAGGTCTTTTCCAACTTTAATGATTCTATGAAAAGGATAAATTTATAGAGAGCTGCTCTCTTGGTATGGAATTTCACAGGCATATAATTCTAGTTTAATCCAAATTGTAAAATCTCACAGATTAGGGCAAACTGGTTTGGCCAGTGCATAGAAAAGGGTCCTGTATGGAAAAATCTCATTATGTGTAGCTGCAGTGACGATGAGTCGGAAAGTGAGACCACTTCTTGTTACGAACAATGCGGTTCAGGGTACAAGAAAAATACGGTATCAGAGTACAGTGTCAGTGTGATATTACAATATCACAGCACACTACCAGAACAACTTTTTGAAGCTTTTGCAATTTACAGAACCCAAATACTTTCCAGCGGAGATCTGGACTCTCTGTAGAGCAAATGTTAGTCTATTGAACAAGGCCTGCTTTTCTTAAACAAATTTTGTGGATCCCTTAGATGTAGTCACCAGAGCCAAACTGGAAATGCATAAGCTGGGGAATGCTGTGGGTTTACCCATAGGACAAACAAAAACCTGTAGCCCATGTCTGTCCTAAGTCCTTCATAGTTTATGTATTATTTTTGGTAAAAGAAGTGGGTTTAGCTCAAGTGTATGAGCCAACCTGGGCAAACATGTCTGCCCTGTCTCAAAAGTTCTCTCTTCATTTTGAACTGAAGAAATTATAACTTATTTTTTATCAGTTGGATACATATGAAGTCAAAACCTTCCCAAAGCTGTCCCTTACCAAAGGCATTCAGTGCTGTCCAATGTGGTTTCCTCGCACACAGAGGTACCTTAAACTGTCAGTTTTCAACTGAGCAACACAGCACAGGGACCCCTGGCAGATCCCCGACTTTTATAGTTGTGTGAGTGACTCTGCCCACATGCTGCTGCTACTTCTCTCACAATTTATTTCCAAACAATATGCTCTTTCCTAGGGACATATGCCACGTAAAGCAACTGCTTTCAGACTGTTCTTGTCCTGCCACTCATGTCGCAACACGTTGTAGAGACCCAGTGGGAATTTTACTGGCACTGCTCCATGATGTACTTTTATGAGTCCTGCACACTGCACCCACAACAGAGACCGGACAGTTTATATTTATCCTTTTGTTTCCCACAAGTAGACCAAATACAGATGAGGCTGACTGCATCTTCAGTGTATTTAAGAAGAACACAAGGAGCTTCTTCAGAGTCCTGCGTGAGCTATTATATTTCTAGAATATAATCTCAGAGCCATGGGAGTATCCCACTCCTAAATGCAGTTATAATCCAGCCATAACGACACATGATCATGAGCTAAAGAGCAATATTTTCTTAGTGTGTGCTATAATTTAAACCACTGACTATTAATCTGGGGGCAGGGAGGGTCTCCAGTTGGTTTGTTTCTCCCACAAACTCAAAGGTGGGAAATGCAGAGTTCATGAGGAGCATGAAACAAAACAAAAACACTCAAAAGAAACAAGTGCAAAGATAAGAATCAAAATAGATTTTAAAATTATGTTAACAAGGATAGCAAGTTCTGAATTTCAAGATCAGAACAAAGAAATGTGTAAGAAGAGTGGGGCTTTTTTAATGATAACAATATAATTTTCTTCTAAGCAAAAATAACAATAGAAGTAATCAGCTGCATTTGCTGGTCAAAGCCAGCTGAAACAAAAGCAAATACATTTATTACAATTATTACATGCCCTGACAGACTTTGGAACTACTGAATGGCTATTGAAGGGAGGTTCACGGATATTTGCACAAGTGGTCGTATTTGCTAACGGTCCTTTTAAACACTTTGATCTCTATTCATAAAATTTGTGTTTGAAACAGTTCAATTAACACAGTACAAAGTACTGCACTGGCAAGCTAGACTTCTAGATACCTCTCCACAGAAACAGATTCCTGTGTGGAAGTTGGGCATTATTTAACTCCATTTGTCTCGTTCCTGATTTAGTACCACACCAGTGACGCTTTTCCAAAATATTTCTCTCTACATAAACCAGAAAAGCTTTACTGGAGCTGCCCTGTCTGAGTCAGAATTCCTCCTAAAATACATACGTATTTTTCCTGATGCAGATATACCTCTCAAACTGATCCACACTTTTATTCTCTCAGGACATTTGTGGAAAAGCTTATCGGAGAAATGTTGCTTTGAGAAATTAGATACAACAATTTCAAACCATTGTTGTCAGTGGCTGGGCACAGTGTTAGGAGCAAGAGCT